CACTGAAAATAAGAACAACTGGCAAAAGGGCTTCAAAGATTGACCTGCTGAGGAGAATTATAACCAGGAGGCTCGCGAAAAACATCACTGTCCAAAGGCATATCTTGGCTTAACCCATTTGGCCGCACATAGCTGCTTGTGAACCCGCCTTCACACAACCCAAGTACTGAAACGAGGATTAAGGCCGCGAGGAGATGAACTAAACTGGTAAAAACACAGTGACTTTCCATTTGCTGGGTTTCGCTTTATATCCCCTAATGAGCTTCGAATTTTGGTGTGAAAAAAGGTGAGTGCTTTAGCGTTTTTGGGGCGATTTTATTCATAAAATAATTAAGGATTGAAGGAAAGGAATATCCATTTTCCAGGATACGAATATTTGGGACGCCGCCGCAATTCTAATCATCTCTTCTGGTAGACATTTATTGAAGCTCCTCTCGTGAGCATGATAATAGTGTTTTAATCATCTCTTCTGGTAGACATTTATTGAAGCTCCTCTCGTGAGCATGATAACAGTGTTTTGTTATGAAATAATAAAATAATGTATCTGAATGACAATTTGCCCTCGATGTATTTATATTATTACGAATTGTGTCATCAGGAGTTTCCTATAAATAAGAGTTTCAGTTATAATGAAAATCATACCTAAGAGAATACAGTTTCTCTATTCTCTCTTTATTTCTAGTTTTATAACACGTTATCATTACGAATCTCTGCTCTACGGTTGCATCTTAAAGATGATCTTCCGTATCAGAAATCTAAGTGTTACAAATCGTTATTTTCTTCAAACAATTCTGATGAGTTATATCAAAATATATACTTTGAATTTAGCCAAACCAAAACCTCATTTCAAATCACGAATCATCCAACAAATCTCAGCCATGGCTCTGTCCCTCTGATGCTCCGCCAAGACCTTCATTGACCTCCTCCTTCTCAACGTCGTTTCCTCGGCGGCCTCGGGATGGTTCCGGTGCAAGAACACCCGTCTGACAATGCTATGCAGGAGATTCCGGTCGGCGGTGCCGGCTTGGGGAGGAAATCGTCGCTGGGGCTCGCGGCCGAGGAATCTGGTAGTGGCCATAGCCGATGTGATTGGAAATAAGTACAGCGCCGTGGAGGCCTATGATTTGACCATGTGGGATCGGCTTTTCCTCACCCAACTCAGCGGACAACTGATAATATGGAAAAGGTTTGATTTCACCCAATCTCTAAAAATTCTGCCTTCAACACCAATATTTGCTTGTCAATAAAATAAAAGTGATTGGTATATATTTGGTAAGGTTTTAATTTAATAGACATGAGATGAGATTTGAATGATAAAAATAATAATAAAAGGATTGTCGGCAATGAAAATTTATGTGATAGAATATAATAATAATAATAATAATAATAATAATGATAATAATAATAATAATAATAATAATAATAATAATAATAATAATAGTAGTAGTTATATTGGTGGATAGCATTTATTGATAAATTGATAAGGATGAGAATGTTCATATGTCCACACGCACAGACAATTGAATTAAATGGTTGAACAAAAAACAAGACACATACTGATACTATTATAAACTCCATTTCTCATATCTGTAAATATGATAAACAAACATGGTTAAAAATCATTATTTTTTTCCATGTTAACAAGTTAAATAAGAGCTTCATTTTAAGATCAATATTGATATGGTTTGTTATCGTACATCAAATATATTATGGTTATGAAATGCTTCAATTTTGTTATTGTGCAAATTATTTGATACATGAACATGTACATATTTATGGATTGACTATTATAATATTTGGTATGTGAACATCCGATATTTATGGATTGACCCTTGTGATATGAAAAGAAATACATATGGCCATATAGACCGGCCAGTGCGGCTCTGCCGACGGCAGGTGATATTTAATGGTAGGTGACGGGTCAACTGTTAAATTATGAAAAATCATGTGAAATGGCCGAGCAGTGTACAACTAAGTGAACTGGTCAATGTATTGAATAATGATGACCGGTGATAGCCAGATGATAAGTGTATTGAATAATGATGGCCAGATGATAAGTGTATTAATGATAACCGGTGATATGAAATGATCAGATGATAAGGCCATGTGCAACAAATATACATATAAAAGAATATGAATGGCTATATATACATGGGCCGGCCATTGCCGCTTTGCCGCCGGCGACAGGCAGTACAAATTAAGTGATAGTCGATGAATGAAATTAATGATACTTTGTATATGGCCATATGAAAAGCTTATTAAAGTCCTGATCGTGAACATACATTATATAGACTAATCTGATCCTGGAAAATAATTGATAAATTTTCCAAATTTGTGGAAAAACGAATATTGATGAGATGGTACCAGTAGTTACCACATGATTAATTTGATGTCGAAAGTTACGACATAATGATTAAATGATATCCTGGTATAAATGGTACTTAAAGCTACCATATTACAATTAAGCAAAATGATGAAATGGTACCAGAAGCTATCATTGGATGATTGAACAAAATGAGAAAATGGTATCAAAAGCTACCAGTTATGGGTGATCACACAAAATGATTTCTCAATATATTATATGAGTTTAAGGGGATATATCAGGTGACGAGATCACATTGAGATACGAGATCATACAGATATTACAATAAAGTGCTCCGGAAGAAGCACAAATGATAATGATTGTAGTCATGAACTACTATACACTGAGAAAAAGCGAAATTAATATTATTATTACTGAGAAACAAGTACAAAAAGTTCAGATGGTGGAAATATGGAGAAGAGGCAGTAAATGCTCGATGAATACAAAATACACAAAGATTTACATAATAGAACCCATAAAAGAAGGGTGCGTCTCGAGAGTATAAAACTCCGTAACTCTGCCACCCATGAATGATATATGAGTTCATAATGAGATATCTAAAGGATCAAAAGCTCTTTTTCGCTTAACTCCTTGTGTTTCCACAGAATCTTGAAATGTGATGCATTCTTGAAACTTTTTGATAAGCTCAGCAGATTTGAATACTTCTCTCATTAAAGGAGATATAAAGGTTTGATATACTCCTATGTCTAAAAATCCAAGTAAACCATGAAAGAAGTTAATAAAATTCAATAGACCTATGGGCTTGTTATGAAGTTTCAATTCCGCCCAAGAAGCAATGGTAAACATTGTCATTAGTGTTTCATAACCACTTGGAAGAATGATAAAAGCATCGCTATTGTTCACCATATCCATTACACAATCATAAATAGAATGAGATAGCATCATACTTGTGGAATCCTTGATGACCCTTGCTGAAGCTCTACGAAAAGGTATGATAGTTTTCACTTCTATCTCAAAACATTGTCCAGCCATTAAGAGACTATCATAGAAAGTATTGCTAGTCCCTCCATACAGCAAATTGATTTTCTGATTCCCCATCTCTTTTGCTAACTGACTTACAATATCAATAGTTTGAGAAAAACTTACCAGTTTAGAACCACCAAGAACACATATGGTTTTGATCAGTGGAAGAAAATTATTACCTTGCGAAGACTCTGAAACATCCACCTATTTATTGATAAACTGAATTTTTCAAAACTTTGTGAGGCTTATGATTATGATGAACGAATTGCTATTTAAATAGAAAAGTTTTACAAAACGATAAATGCTTGTACTGTTTTCTTCTGACAATTGCAACCGACAGATAAGGTATGGGGTTTTAAATAAATCTTATATGTCGGCAGCTATAAGGATTTTTGTAAGATTACAGTACAACCTACTAAACTATTTTAGTATGATTTTTCGTACTAACAAGACCACTTTTACAAACTTGATCGTTTGAAATAATATTTTCGAGACTGTAACGTTCTTCTTCACTTTTGAACTGAGTCCATAAAGACATAAGCTCACGATGCACATATCCACTAGGATGTGTCTCAAGAATCTGTTGAATCGTTTGATCCAGAGACTCCTTACTCAATCCATCCTTTATAAATGTTATTTTATCTTCTCAATTTTTGGACACGTACCCCACAGATTTACATCTTGTGTCACAAGTCCATCGAGCGCATTTGTAGCATCCACCTAATCTTTTTGCTCTTCGTTTCTTTGCAAAAGTACTCTTACCCATACCTGACATATATTTATATGAATTTGGAAACTCTCCAGACAATCGAACTTGTGCTTCAATCAACCATCGAACATAATTTGGAATACCATTATTCATTAGCACCCTCAATCTTTTTAATCGAGATCGATAAATCCTTTTTATGATATTTTTCAGAAGAAAAAAAATAATATTTACGGATATTTGAGAGTGCTAAATCCATTTGTAAATTCAGACCTTTGTTAAGGAAAACTGAATGAATTATCTGATCAGTTATAGAAAAATATGATGCGTATGAGATATGACTCTGGACTTAAACAGTGTTCAAAAGTATGTGTGTCAGACGACATGATACGATTCTGGATTTAAACAGTGGCTAAAAGATATTGTGCCAGAGCCAACACTTAAAGTGCATTTATTGCCGCCGAAAGATGATGTGAAATGTTTGTGATAAACGTGGCACAACGAACTATTGTGATCACTTTAAAAATGTTTGCCGATATTATTGATGATGGTTTGCATGATGAACTTATTCTTTGATATGAGATGCTTGTTCTCGATTGGTGAAAAATATTACTAGCTAAATATTTGTGAATCGGTATTTGATCAATCTGAGTATGAACCCACTACCCCTCCATGTGTGCTACTAGATATTATGGATCCACTAGATAGCCACATGTGTGTGATCCATAACCTGAAGTTACGAGATGATTTGATCAAATAATGGATACATGACACGTAACCTGAAGTTACGAGATGGTTTGATCAAAGAATGACACAAGATGATTATGAAAGAATGAAAATAAGTGTCATATGAAAGTGATGAAGCTAGTAATATACTCAGCTGATATGATGAACTCTTGAAAGAAAAATGTGCACATTACAAATGATATGAGTTTAAAGTCCTCCAAATATATGCTGAAATCGAAAACAAAATGGAGAATATATGAAATCCCCTCAAGAAATTCAATACTGAAAATACAGATCGGGGATCTGTTAAGATGAGGGGGAGAATCAATGATTGAAATTTAGAAATAATATATGCATCACACTGAAAGTGTGCAAATCATAAACTATATGATACTGATGATGGTGAATTATATGAAATGATATGATGGTGGAATATTACGCTGGAAGCGTTGGTATTGTGCAAATTGAAATTCCCCAAATAAGTGATGAAAGGGGGTATATTTACTATTGATGAAATCAATTAATAATGAGATATCTCAATAAACTACGGGGAATAATGGAAATGAATAAGTGTCGACACAAACAAATGAATAGCACTATATAAATGATATTGACAAAAATGAAATCAGCTAAAATGTGAATATTGGGAACTATTGGCAGTAAGACCATTGAAATCAATTGACGATGAGAATGAGTTTAAGAATAAAAGTTGCACAAAGTATGATATGGCATACCATCAGTATCTGAAAATCTGAACGAATTTATATGATACTCATGAAAATTATAGAAATATTATTATGGTGAATATACGGAATACGCGTTATACTCTTTTTCCCTTGGCTGAGGTTTTGTCCCATTGAGTTTTCCTAGCAAGGTTTTTAATGAGGCAACAGGGATGGCGTATTCACATGAATAGTGTACTCTTTTTCCTTCATTAGGATTTTGTCCCACTGGATTTTTCCTAATAAGGTTTTAACGAGGCATATTCATGGTATGATGAGGACTACTGGATAAATGATATGATTTCTCACGATGATAAGAGAGACTGGAGTAGCTGTACTCTTTTTTCTTCGATCAAGTTTTTTTTTTCACTGGGTTTTCTTGACATGGTTTTAACGAGGCAGCACGTTGATACTCCACTAAAGATGATCTATTTGAGGGGGAGCAATGTTGTGCTTCCACAATGCTCAGGTTTTATCCCACTGGGTTTTCTTGAAGAAACAATGTTATGATTTAACGATGATCAGGTTTTGTCCCACCGGGTTTTCCTGACATGCTGAAGCAACGGTATCTGATGGCCACAAGATATACACTTCAAGATGTGCAGAATGGGCTTTGTATAAATTAGTTAAAATATGTTTAGAAAATAGTCATTCAAGGGGGAGTGTTATGAAATAATAAAATAATGTATGTGAATGACTATTTTGCCCTCGATGTATTTGTATTATTACGAGTT